CCGCTCTTCTGCCCTCTCCCTCCCCAGCCACCCTCCCTCCACAAAGCACAAACCCCACAGGTCGCTGGTGTGGGGCCAAGAGCAGGTGCAGCGAGGGTGGGGGCATCCCCAGCCCTTTTCAGCTCCAGAGACGGGGGGGGTCTCCCTCCTTGACTCCCCTTGGCAGAGCTGGGGTAATGGGAGATCTCCCATCTGAGACCGCAGCTGCTCTCAGCAAATGCTGGGACTGCCGGGGGACAGATGGGGTGAAACAGGCTGAGCTTCCCACGGGGGGACTGGGGGTGGTCCCTGGCTCTGTAAAGCCAGCAGAACCTGGCTCATGGCTGGAAGCCCCTGATCACAGCCTGAGGGGACAGTGTAGCCCATCGCTCCCAGGACTTCCGAGCCCTCCGGGCACATGCAGGGTGGCCTTTGTGCAGTCACGCTCTATTTCAGTGGTTTCGTTGAGGTTATTATTATTATTATTGTTCTTTTCTACCAGGGCCTGGAGGCAAGTTGTTGTACCCGAGGACGGGCTCTCGTTCCCCCGGCGCGTACCCCACCAGTGCTGCCCCGCAGCACGCTAGGAACCAGCATGAGCAGCTGCATGCTCTGGTGCGATGGGGACGGGGAGCAGAGGAAAAGGCAAGTGCAAACCCACCTCCCCAGCCCCATTTCAGCTGGAGGGGGTCTGGGATCACAGGGGTGTCCCAGTGATGCAAAATGGCTGCAAAATAAACCAAACATAAAAATCAGATCAAACTTGGACATTTCCGTTGTTGCTTTTCCTCTCCATCACCTCGTTTGTTTCCTGACTTGTGCATGCGTGTGTTTATGTGTGTGGCTGTGTCTCTGTGTATACATTTTGGGATAATTTGCTTTCTGTTGGATTTTTCCCCTCCTGTTGTAAGTGTGGAGCCTTGTGCTATCCCCGCTCTGGGCAATCTGTAGATGTGAGCCCTAAAACGCGGTCAGTCGCCCTTAGGTGCAGGAAGGCTGTGCGGATGCCACACTCAGGTAATTTAAGGGGTGCATTTAACGGCAAATTTTAACTCTGCAGGAGGGAGTTTCCCTTCTGGATGTCCAGAGCTGATGTCTCTCTGGACAAACACCATCTGGGCAAAGGAAAAGGGGCTGGGGAAGTGTCTGGGTTTGCTTTGCTTTCTGCTCAGTGGAGTCACTTTGATCATCCTGGAAAGCCTGTGTCTGTGTGCTCTGGTGTGAGGACGGGTCTGTCCCATGGGCCGATGGCATCGCTGCCTTCCCGGATGGTGATGGGACCAAGAGGATGGAGCTGTGGTGGGGAGGAAAGGGGCCGGATTCATGGATTAAGGTTAAACAGGAGGAGAGGCTGACCCCTCACAGCTGCTGCTCTTCAAATGTTTTATTTCCTGCTCTGTGTAAGCCCGGATTGACCTGCAGGCAGCAGAAAATGTCGAACAACAAACGATCTCCCTGAAAGGAGAAAACCACCAGAAAACCCACGAGAAAAACCCAGTGGGTTGAATGGACCCCAGCCTGCTGGCTGGAAACATGGGGGCTCTGGGGAGGAGGGACAGGGACTGGTGTAGGGCGAGTGGGCTGGCAACATGGGGGTCCCTTTCCCCAGCTCCAGTGTTCTTCCACACTTGAGTTTTCCCAAGGGCCGCCCGGAGCAGCATCGCGGGGCGCCGGAGCTGGGGAAAGCCGCCCCATGGGGCAGGCGATGGCCGGGAGCTGGGCTGGGAGCAGAGCCCCTGGCGGGGGGGAACGCGGGGGGTCCCTAGCAGGGGGCGGGAAGGGGCTCTCGGCCGCGGGAGAGGGCCGGGCCCAGGAGCCCTTCCCAGGCCAGCGCCCGATGCTGTCGGCGAGAGGGATGCTGCTGCTCCCCGCCCTCACACGACGCAGGGGACT